GCTGAACTTTTTCTTGTTCAGAACATTCAGCTCTCTGAAGGTGAATGGAAATATGAACTGGATGTTCTGGTGGGCTTTGTCTTCAGCCCAGTCCAGAGTGAACTTCTGAGTTAAGACTGTTTTTCCAATGCCAGCTACTCCCTTTGTCATCACTGTTCTGATTGGCTGATCTCCTGCAGATGAGACCTTAAATATGTCTTCTTGTCTGATTGTTGTTTCTGGTCTGTTTGGTTTCCTGGATGTTTCTTCAATCACTCTGATTTCATGTTCATCATTAACCTCTCCAGTGCCTCCCTTTGTGATGTAGAGCTCTGTGTAGATCTGGTTCAGAAGGGTTGGATTTCCTGCTTTGGCAATCCCCTCAAACACGGACTGGAACTTCTTCTTCAGACTGGATTTAAGTTTAGGTTGACACACTAAAGCAGGAAGCTCTAAATTAAAACAAAAAGTAAAACCAGGAAGAAAACAAAATTATACAGATTCTTTCAGTAAATGTGATTCCATCTCTTTACAACATTACATTTTTTATTTATCCCCAATGTTAAATATTTATAGAAAATCTCCTACTGTTTTGCAGATGGTTAGCAAGCTCCTCCTGCTTCATCATCTTCAGGAAGTTCACTGTAATCTTCATCAGTGCCTCGCTGCTGATCCTCCTCTGCTCTTCATAATCATTTTGAAACACCTCCTCATAATCTTCCAGAGTCTCTGAGTGTTCAGGGTCATCTGGACTTAGAACCTTCTGGATCTTTTTTAGCTCGTTTTTCACAAATGTGACAATGTTGTCTTCCAGTAGCTGGAACAGAATAGTATATGAAGGACACACCAAAGTGAAATCATGGAACCAAACACCAAAACCATGTTGGACAGAGAAATGGTCCCCTGGTCCATAAAGTGCTTCATGGAGAAGACTATAAAAATAGTACTTGGTGTACATGTACAGACCACGAATATGGAGACCAGCTGGGCTTGTTGCTGCTGGGCAGACGTAAAGCTAGGAATCATCTCATAGTGATGCTCCACTCTGTGGAAGAACAGAAACAATTAGCTTCTTATGGGAAGATTCTGAATGGGTTGAGCTCCCCTTAAACACATGATGGAATAAAGACATTTCTAACT